GACGGGGCGTACCTCGGCCTGCTGGTGACCTGAGTGAAGCCGTAGTTCTGGAAGAACGCATGGAACTCAGCGGACGAAAACTGTGGTCCCTTGTCACTGACAAGGGTCTACGTACGGCATCCCGTGCCTAGCAAAGACACTTCTGATGACCGTAATCACAGCCGTGAATGTGCTCGAACGGAGGGACAACACTTCCGGGTACCTGGAACGGGTACACAGGGCTGTACATAGCGAGGCAAACGTCAGAGGACAGCATCCTTTTGGGCCTTTCGAAGGCTGTGGCTTACGTTTGACTACACGTCGACGAGTAGAATGTAGTCAACCCCTTCATGATGGAAGATGTCCGTGCCGACCCTCCCCCAAGGATGACTAGAAGTTTCCGTAGGAAGAGTGGCTCAGCACGTTGGACCCTTGTGGTTGCGCAGTTGGAGCAGTTCTCCATCATTGTCTTGACCTGGCTTCCCATGGTCGGCCACCAGACAGCTTCAGGGGCAATGGCGCGGCACCTGTTCACGCCGAAGTGTCCATCATAGATAAGACCCAAAACATGTTTCCGCAGAGAAGCGGGTACCATCCCCCACGGAAGACGAGGCCGTCGCCGACACTCAGTTCGCCCCGATGACTCCAATACTAAGCCAAGCTGGTGGGAAAACGTTCCTTCCGAGGCCACTCTTGTTCGCAGTATGACTTGAGTGTAGCGCATTCCCAGTCAGAAGCTTGATGAGAGCGGAAGTCACTAAGGAGGACCGCAAACTTGGAAGGAATGGCACTGAGCACCTCTTGGACATAGAGATTCACTTTGTCGACGGCTGGGACAGTGTGCAGCAAGTCGACCGGTTCACGGGAAAGTACATCCGCTGTAGCCAACTGTTTATCAGGCACATACTTGACGTAAAACTGGTATACTGGAGCAGCCGAAGATGGAAGCGCTGGATCCGGGTGGCATAAGGTCTAGGTCGGCGGCACCCAGATGATTGACCAGGGGCTGATGGTCGGTCTCAAGCGTGAAATGGATACCCCGAAGGAACTCGTCAAATCGATGAACTGCCCAAGTGGCAGCCAGGGCCTCTTTCTAGATGTGACTGTATCACCGCTCGGTGTTTGTCAGTGCCCGGGAGGTATATGCGACTAGTCGCCGATCCCCTGACGGCTGGTCCTGGATAAGCACACCGCCCAGCCCAAAGGAACTGGCATCCGCCGAGACTGTGGTAGAGTACACAGGGCTGTACCTAGCGAAACAAACGTCATGGGACAGCATCTTCTTGAGCCTTTCGAAGGCTGTGTCTTACGTTGGGCTCCACGTTCAAACTGCGTCCTTGTTCAGAAGACTTCTGAGGTGTGCGGTCATCTGCGACAGATCGGGCAGGAAGTGACCCATGTGGCTGAGCAGAGCGAGGAACCGCTGGACACCCTTAAAGTCCCAGGGAGTTGGCATGTGTTGAATGGCTGCCGAGGAACCGGACACTTGAGACCTCGAAACTGCACTTAACGTTGCTGGTGACCTCTACTTGCTGAAGGCGACCGAGAACTGCTTGGAGGCGCCGGTCATGCACTTCGGTGGTGCGGCCAAACACGAGAATGTCATCCACAAGGTTGACGACACCGTCTAGTCTCTCAGGTATACGGGACATCTGGCGCTGAAAATATTCCGGGCCAACGTGATGACAAAGGGGAGGCAACAGTAGCAATGCCTGCCAAACGGAGTAATAAAGGTTGTATATTCTTGTGAACTGCGGGCCAAGCGAACCTGGTGGAAGCCGGAAGTGGCGTCCAACTTAGAGAAAACACAGGCGTCTGCAAAAAATCCAAGCGTCTGATCCACGGTTGGAAGAACGAGGCGCTCGCGAAGTACGACATGGTCGAGCTTAATCAAATCCACGTAAAGGCGGTAACCCCCCGCTGGCTTCGGTACCATGACGAAGCCCGCGCGCCAGGCTGTCGGCTCGTCAACACGAGGAATCACGCCGTCTTGCTCCATCTTGTCAAGCCCTGGCTTGACGACGCTGCAGAGCGGTATCGGGATGCGCCATGACGTACTGAGTGAAAACGGCACCGCAACGGGCTTTATCCGGATCATGTATTCCCCGGGGAACGTGCCCAGACAGGCAAAGAAGTCTGGCGGAACCTCCTGAGGCGGTGCTTGCAGCAGAAGAGCGATCGGAGTCGGGGTGGCGACGTCAACGAACTTGACGACCCTGAGGGCGTCGATGGCGAGATACCCGAGGAGAGGTAGCTCCTTTCCCGCGACGACGTAGAGACGCTCGTCGACTCGCCTACCTTTCCAAGACAGCGTCGCAGAAATCGTGCCGACACTGCCGAGGAGGTGCAAAGGGTGACTTCCGGGGCTCAAGAGCTCTTCAACTTCCTCACCTTGTCGAGGAGTATTGGACATCCGGGAAACATGCGTGCACGGAACCACGGAAACATCGGCGCCTGTGTCTCCCATTCTGAGTCGCCGACGCTAGAGTATAGAAGCGAGGCACTTCTTAGAATTGATGACACTCGTAGCCGCAGTACTCTCAGTGGCCATTTTGACTGTTTCTAGAGTTCAAAAACCTTGCTTGAGTCCCTTCGAAAAGTTCTAGAAGCTTCGGTTCGGTCACCTGACCAGGGGTCAGGTCCGTTCGCGCGCTGCGCTCGTTTGCGTGAGGTTGCCACGTCCACGTGCGCTGCTGATAGCTGATGGCCGCTGAGGGACTGGTGCTTCTTTTCCAGTTTGGCGTCTTCGTGTAGCCGGGCCTGCGTAAGCGCGTCGATCAGGGATAGCTTTGGGTTGCGGCACAGCTGGTCCGAGAGACGCGAGTCTGCCAGGCCCACGACGAACCGGTCGCGGACGAGACGGTCCTCAACGGCTGGCAGGTGGTTGCACTTTCGAACCCTTATTCCGAGGGCAGTGAAGAAACCGTCTGCGGTCTCGCCGGCTTGCTGTGTCCATTTGTGAAACCTCGAGCTCTCGTAGGCCTCGTTCACGGGGTCGACGAAGTATATAGCCCGTGAAGCGCCAAGTGCGTTCCGCGTACGACTTGTACGCGACTTCGTCTGACATAAGCGAGCTGAGAACGACTCGTGCCCGGGGTCCCATGTATGAGGAGAGGCCTAGCCTTGCATGGTCTCATCTGGCGCCACGTGGATGCCGGTAGCAAAGGCATTATCCTCTAACTCTTGCAGCCAGGCAGGCCACTCTCCGGCGTCCCCGAGGGCACGGGGCCGGGTTTCGGAGGCTGGCGGCAGCGATTGTGGGGGCTGAGGCTGGGCCGTCGTTATTTGACAGGGCTGACTGACAACTTTACTTCAGACACCATGTAGTGTTCGGGACTTAGCCGGAATAAACTAGGGCCGCGCGAGCGAAGGTGGCTGAAGGCGTAAGAAGAGACCCAACACGTCAGCTAGGGACCAACGCTAAAGAACCCCCCCGAGCGAAGGCGCTAGTGTTCGGCTGCTCACTTAGCACGACACCGCTTCTATTCAGCTATCTCCCCTTCAGTCAACTTTTACCGCTTGCGAGGCATTGTGAAGACTGCGGAACATCCAGTGAGCGCCTCTTCCCTCAACCCGCGCATGCGCGCGATAAGGAGGAGAGGACGGCACATAAGCCTCACTTTTCCGCGTATGCGCATATATGCGTTTCCATGTGACTACCGGAAGTTCTCAAGGGGGGTTGACTTAAAAGAAAAACAGTTAAATAATGTTTGTTGCCCCGGCAGTAGAAGTGGCGGTAAGAGTCGTGTGCATTGTGGTTGACTGCGTGCTAACAGCGAGCTTTCATCGGATTTATATCGCATTAGGGACCTTTAGTAAACAGTTACCGCGTTCCGCGTACCGCACTATCGCACTACCGGAGCCTTTGAAGCATGCTTTTAAGCGTGCGCCCCGCGGTCACGGTATCGCGAGCGCGCGCTTAAAAGCATGCATGCTTCAAAGGCTCCGGTAGTGCAGTACACGTTAGTTTGGTAAAAGTCCCTATTATCAAAGATGCAGTTCGTAACAGGCAATAAGCGATTTGAACGACAGCTTCTGTTGTGTTTCATTAAAATTCCCTATAAACTCCCTAGCCACATACGCTCCAGTAACACCTTGATTTTTTTACTCCGACAGAACATTTAAGACGATGAAGTTTGGCGTTCAGTTGGGCCATCTTTTGTATGATCCTTTGCTTTGAACGGACTCCGTCATTTTGCCTGCCAGTCAGTTTTAATCAGAGCAAACTTTACGTTTTTGCCATTTCTCGCATTCATAGTGATACAGCGTGGCATTTAATAGAAAAATACTCAATAGCAACTTCATTATTAAACCACTCAGCAGATAAATAACCCGATATATTATTTATTTTCTGAACAGTTCGCGCTAAATGGTGCGTGAAGAGCGGATCATGAAGTAAGAGCAAGCGACATTTTAGTACAGGTTAGAATAAAGCGAGTCGGTATGACCAACTTCCAGCAGTCAAAACAGCAAAACTAAAAGCGCGCATGTATGACGGATCAAAAATAAAATATGGAAAGGAAGTTAATTGTGCACCCCCTTCAAACCCCCCTTACACACACACGCACACGCACACAAACACACACACACACGCACGCACACACAGGCGCGCGCACGCGCGCACGCACGCACGCACGCACGCACGCACGCACGCACGCGCACACACACACACACACACACACACACACACACACACACACACACACACACACACACACACACACACACACAGGAAAAAAAGACGGTTCCTATTTTTGGGAAATAAATGCCAAGCGCGGTGCCAGCAACGACGGATAAGTATTTAATTATCACTTTTGCATTACTGAAGGTTTTGAGGAGAAACTAAGCATAGAAGAACCAAGAGAGGATATCATCAGTCCTAAACAACCAAGAACACGCACAGTCAACGTACGGCTTTAAGAAAAAAAAAAAGAAAAAAAAAAGATCATGGAGAGGCGAGCAGATTAAGAGAGACTAGCGACCTCTACCGGCAAGCCCGAAGCCGAAAGTAGCGGGCGAATTATTCCTAGCGCTTAAGTTTCCGCACGATACAGTTGCAAACGATGGTCAGGCGGCTGTTTTAGACCACGCAGACCAAAGAGCGGCGAGATGGGTCAACCTGCAAGTTCACCGCAAAACTACTTCCCTCGAGCTGCCCAGTTGTTTATTCGCCGGTTCGACAGACCCCCACACACAGCCGACGGCAGGGGCTGTACGCTAGGGGGTCATCGCACCACCAGTGGATTCGAAGCGGAGGTCAAGAGGGCGGGGATGACCAGAGGCATGCCCGTCGCGCCGTCCACGGCGTAGCTGGCGCTGGCTCCCAAGGGCAGGCCCGGGGCACTCATGATGGAGCCCACCGTGGCGCTGGCCGTCGTCGCCCGGGGCACGACGGCCGTCGTGGCCCGCTTCACGTCCACGTCGACGGCGAAGTAGCCCGCCACGCCCACCGTAAGCACGCCGAGCAGGATGTACAGCTTGGTGTCGGTGCACACCAGGTTGCTGTAGCCCAGGGCCGCGATGGTGCCCACCGAGCGCCACAAGTGGCAGCTAGCAAATGCCGCTTCCGGGGTCTGCCAGAAGACCACCGCGTAGAAGGCTGCGCAGCGCGCGGATTTTAGAACCCTCCTTCTACACATGATTTGTACATGACGTTAGCGCCCCGTGCTAGTGGTCATTCTGGGTCATTCCTACTTGCTCTTGCTGAGATAAACAAATTCGGCGGTGGCGCGCAATGTACGCTGCAGAAAACAGCAAGGCCACCCCGATGGCCACTGACATGACGTCGTGTAATCCACGTATCCGCCGAGAAACTGAGGGAGAGGACAAGACGAGAGAGCGCGCGGAGGTCAGAACTCCGAGCTCTGTTTCGAATCATTAGTGGGGAGACGTAAAGCTATAGCTGCCTTCGTCTCCATCACTGAACGCGTTCCAATGCGAGAGCCAAACGGCACACTGGCATTCCGCCTTCTAACGCCTTCGGCCGAGTACAGTGGAAACAAATAAAGCCCCTCAATGTGTTTGCGTTTGTCTTGCAAGTAGCGTCAAATGCGCCAGTGCAAGAGGCCCGTGTCTCAAGCGGCCTTTTAGGGCAAATGGCGGAGCAGCACTGCAATGAGCGGCCCTCGGAAGCGAATGGCGGCCGAGCACCCTTCCGTGGACGTGTCTTGCGCGTTTCCACAACAATGGTTGGCGGTACTTGTAAGCGTCAATTTTATCGAGGGACTTCAGAGACAAAAGCTGCCTTTGCCTTCAGTGCACTCGACGAACGCGTTCGAATGAGAAAGCCCAAAGCCGGACGCCGTTGTTCCTCGTTCTAACGCCTTCGACGAGTGCAGTGGAGACACAGGCTGCTGGCCTACCCACTAATCATTTTAACCAGAGCTCGGCGTTCTGACGTCCTCGCACTTTCGTCTCCTCCTTTCCCTGTCCCGGTGCATAGGCATCAGCAAGCTGGCCAAACATCGGAGATAATGTCTTGATTAGGAATGCCTCCATGAGCGCTTTGCTTAAGGTGGACACATCTGGTCATTTTGTCCCACACGTTTATTTTTCTTTTTTGTTCAGAAGAGCGTGGAAGAGCGTGTCACTGCACGCGTTTGTGGCGCTGACTGTGCTATGGCTATATTTTGTTTTCGTCGATTTCTTTGTATTTTACCCGTGAGCGCGCGCTGTCGACATGCGGTACTACAAAGGGTGGCGTCACCCTAAACAGAAGGACATTGAGGCACCCTATACTTTGTCTCACCTTAGCATGGACTAACTGCGAAGGCTGTGCAAGCGCGAGCGGCTGGCCTTGACTGTCTTGACTGGAGCCACTCGCTGCAAGAGCGCTCGTGCAGCTGCCGAGGCTTCATCCAAAGCAACTAGCTCCCGCCTTTAGCATCCGCGGCTAACAATACTTCATGCTAAGGTGAGACGAAGTATAGTCTTGACCAGTTCACACACGCGAAGCATCTAGAAGCAAGTGTCTGGTGCATTGCATTATCGTTTGTGCAGTTTGCATCCGCACTTTCTCTGTCGCCAAAGTGGCAACCGAGAAACCGTGAAAAAGAGCGACAGAACGAACGAACGCCCACGGGGATATTATGCGCCACATATCCTTAAAAACATATACCTTGTTTGGTTTCGAGACAGAAATCCATGGAGCAAAAATGCGGCGAACAGCCCGGCGGCTTGTTCGCTTTGTCCGCGGCGCAACAGTCACTGTTCAACGCCTACGGGCGAAGTTCGTCGCCCTCCTCGCCCCATGCACGTCAACCGTAAAAAAAAACAAAAAAACATAACGTTATTTTGAAGAGCAGTTGACCACTATACTTGTTGTCACACCAAGGAAAAAGCAAGTTGTCAGAGAAAATAATTATGCCATATGCGTTTGAAACTTTTACCAATTTAAATGCACATTTAAGTATCTTAATTTACCCCCAAAAAATTGGAAAATTTGTAATGTTCCGCGAGAAGATGAACCTCTTCTTACTACAGTTCTTGAGGTAGTTAATTCTGTGAAATCACTGGACGTGTTATTTGGCATCTGAACGCTTTAAAGAAGCACCCATCCCACTTTCAAAATATGTGCATATATTTCTCAATCAGAGCCCCTGAACCTTCAGCCGGCTCCTTATTATGTTTTGTAAAAAAAAAACAAATAAGACGTTCGATTTTCCAGCACTCCTAACATACTGGAGTTTTGCGCTCCCGCCCTCATCCCTACAGCAGGTAGGTACCACACCTGCTGAAGCTACTTTGAAGTCGTGGTATTTTGGAATGAACAAATAAGCATACACCAGCAAACACCAGCAAACACTTACAAACGATATGTGTGGTCCATGCGGCATCGGCGATGCCCCAGATACCTGAAGCGACCAGAAGGACCAAGAGGAGGTAGCTTGTTTCGTAGCTGAGCATCAGGATGATCATGGCCACGTTAACTACGGCGCCGAGTAACACCATCTGTGGACGGCCCGTTAGATGGAGTAGCGAGCCGAAGCTCAGCGAAAAAAGAGCACCGGTAACACCGAGGCTTGCCAAGAAAAGACCGACGTAGCCCACGCCCCAGGAGCACGTGATGTACGCCTGCGAATAAGAACACCGGAGTGGGCTTGAACACTCAAACATCGAGGTAAAACACTTAAAACTAAGCATTCCGGAAAAACGACGAGCTTTAAAAGAAACAAAAGTTGATACATTATAGTCGCATGTGCCAAACAGAAGGTACAGCTGATAGTGGGAGGTTCAAATCACACTAACCCTTGTAAAGTCGTCGGCGATGAAGGCGACCTCCAGTCCAGTGAAGATGGTCAAGGGAACAATGAAAATTTGGTAGGGATTTTTCATATGACGCATCGTAAGCAGCATTAAGTCTAATGATGCTCTGTCCTGGCACTGTACTTTGCGTTCCAGAGGATCCAACAGGAGAAAAACCACGAGAGCCGCTATCCAACCGAAGGCCGTGTACACTACGCAGAGCTGAAATCTGCTTGTCACTGACGGAGCCGTCAGGTTTGTAGGCAGCGCAGACTGCGGGCAGAAGTTGACCCCGCAGGCGGTTCGCTTGTCACCGTTTGACCCGTGGCTCACGCCACCACCGCCGCCAGTGCCCAGAATCACGTAGGAGAGCAGGTTTCCAAATACTTGGGACAACTGGCTGAACATGAGGAAGACTCCGAAGAAACGCCCCACTACGGCGTTCGCGTTCTGGTGGTGCAGGCCCGCGTATTGGGTTGCCAGCTCGGCCACGTATGCGCTATTGGCCGTATGCAGAGGCCCAGCGCCGAAGCCTAGCACGAACGAGGTGGGAAGCACAGTGACCCAATGCGGGTAGAAGTTGGCGATAAAATAGGGTGTGTATAGGAGAGTGCAGGCACCGATGGTGACCTTCAGACCTGCCACGCTGATGAAGAAGGGCGCGAGAAACAAGCACGAGAGCACAAACGAAGAGCAGATGGCACTCAGCGACACAGTACCTAGACCACTCTCAGCGTTGAGCACGCTTGTCTGGAGGCTGCTTAACGATAAGAACGCCGAGTTGATCAGAAACGAGCAGGCGCTGAGTACCAGCAAGTTCCGGCGTAGCCGCTGCCTCCGCTGCCGTGGTTCCCAGGATGGGTGCGCTCTGTCGCCTTCCGCGTCACCGGCCGATGGCGATGACATGTCAGTCGCGCCGTTTAGGTCATCGTGGCGTAGTCCTGTGTCCGCTAGGGCTGCTCGCCTCCTCTGGCCAGTCAAGGCACCACTCTCGCACCACGCTCTTACGGGGCCCCAGCTTGCAAGCTCGCAGCACCCGGTGGGTCAGCGCTTAGAAGCAGCCCTCGAGAGCTCCAACCTCGCCATTGGTAGCTTACCAACACCACAGTGACTTGAAGCAGCACGTTCAAGGGGCGAGGCCTCAGTGACGCGAACCAGCCGAAAAATAATGCAGCGAGGAGTACGGCGGCTAAACACGCCCCGGTGTTAGAGGTCAAGTGCTTAACGGTACACAGACGTGTGGTGTCCGAATGCGTGATGGTACCCTTGCTCGCAAATATTAGAAAGCCGGATTGAAAGCGACCAGTAGCGATGCGTGTGTGATGGCGAGTTTCAGACTGCCCCGGCGACTGGTCGTAGCATCGTAGCGCGGGGTTCTTTGGAGCAAACTCACCACATGAATTCGAAACGGGTGAAAACCGCCATAATTGCAAGCGCTTTTTCGTCTTTTGTTTTCACCATCCTTTTTGATTCGCACCGCACCTACAAATTTACAGTATAAAGACAAATTATTTTTAGAACGAATAAGAGAATAAGATTTGATGAAGGGGCTAAATTCCTGACCCAAATTTAACCTAATCATTATTTATATATTTTTTATTTAAGCCTATGCTTCAGAATTCAGGCAGCACAAACGTTTCGAGGGAGAGTGAACGGAGGATTTTAACCTCGAGATCTACTCACTAGGTACGGCCCTGCTGCAGAGCTCTGGCTTTCAATCAAAGATCAAATACTCCTATGTTTGTTACGTGGCAAAAACCACTCGTTTTTTTTTTTTTTTTTTTTTTTTTTATTTAAGCAATGTTTTGTACTAAGCACCTCCGTGTGATAATTTAACTGTGGTTGCCTTTTAGTTTTACTATACTCCGTTTCACATCACTGCGAGCGTTGCAGAAACTACAAGAGCGTGCTCCAGGCTTTCAGCGGCCCTGCGGACCATGCGCGTTCGTGCAGTACAAGCATCATTCAGGGCAACTTGCTCGTGCTTGTAGCTCTGGCTTTGTTTGCACATAGAGTAAAACAAACTATACCTTATTCATATTTTTCATCCATTATTGTAGGTTCCAAGTGACCGAGGTGCACCCGCAAACCACGACCAACTCTATACTTACGACCACTGCATCTGAGCGCTCTCTATGGAAAAGCCTGCTCCCGGCTGGATGGACGGATGGATGAATCCGGCTGAGCCCTTTGGGTCGGGCGGTAGCTTACGCCACCTAGCCATTTTGTTTTACCATTTAAGCTTCGAATATTTAAATGTGAAAACTATATTCACTCCGCACTGCAAAGAAAGTGAGGCTATAGAACCCCCTTGCCATCAGTTAATAAGAAGAAACCTAGTTTTCTCTCGCTTTCTGCCCACATTCACTTAATCTTTGCTTGGTAATCTCTACTGTCTTGAAATCCACACTTCCTTCGATGTCTCTAAAACCCCAAAAAATCAAATTTTGGGATTTTACTTTCCAAACCTACGACGGGCATCTGGCACACCCCAGCAGAGGACTGAAGATTAATTTGGACCACCTGGGGATCTTTTGACGTGCAACCGAAAGCTCGGTTACACGGCGCCTTCTCCGCAACAAGCCTCCGTCATATTGCGGGCACCTCGGTCGGGATTCGAACCCCCTACCTGGGGATCCGTGGGCCGGCGCTCTCGCCTCGGAGCCATGTCTCTAAAACCCAATGACTTTATTAAAGGGACACTGACAGAGTATCAAGCGCTCAGCCGTCTCGTCCTCCTCTCCACAAGCAGTGCACACTGCATCCATTTCCTGGTACTTTGCTCTGTATGTTCTGGTTCGCAGAACACCCGTCCTCGCCTCAAACAACAATGAGCTTCCCCTTGAATTGTCATAAATGCTTTCTTTGGCAATAACTGGTTTGTTTACAAGCGTCGCTGCGGTCGCCGCGCCCTAATTGGGTGAGGTGTACCGTGACGTCAGGGCGATGACTCCGCTCCGCGATCTCGCATCGGCTCGCTTCCCAGCACCGGTTTCCTGGTTTGGCGTTGTGTGCCGCAAGCTCTTCGAGGATCTCGACTTCGTTTACCCGGTGTACAAGACGTTGGGTTAGGCCGATATTGACGTGCTTTCGTACATTTTATAAGCCTGCTTGTCCATTTTACTTTTAAAATTGGGTTACAAATCCCGAAAGCTATCGGCGGTGGCATTTCCGGCGATGAACCTCTCCGTCCGTCCACACGTACGATACAAGGCAATTTTGCGAGGGATCGGTGAAGCGGTGGTGCAAGTGTTTCAGACGCTGGAATTCTGTTCCTTGCATGTTCATGATTTAGGACGATATTACATCCCGCCTTCAAGGCATTTGAAGTGGCATTTATATCATGGGCCTTTGGCATGGTCGGCAAATTAGCTCGCTACCCCGACTTTGCGCTGCCACTCTGCATGCCCTGGTTCGCTGATGTTTTAAAGGCTCTTTGTCTGGTTATCTTTGAAGTGCCCGTGGAACAGGGTTGTTTTACATAAATGTAGCTTCTTCGTGAATGAATTATATAGTTTATACACGTATGCAGGCATATTTCTTAGAAGATGCACAATTACTGGAAATTAGTTTGTATGGTAGCAGCAAAAACGGCCGAATTGCCCCCAGTTGCCTGTATGTATTGAACTGCCTAAAATATGCACAGCAATAGTGCCGTAATTTGGAATGTTTATACTTTTTCCCGACATTTTTATTCCAGCCTTGGGTATTCGCAAAATACACCGTTTAGTCTGAATTGTCATTTCCAAATAAAAGGGACACTGCTGCAGGTCTCCAAAAGCTTCCTCGGCCTCCAAACTCCCTACAGTTGGACTCTCTGACAACAGAGGAAAACAGGAGTAAAAGCAAGCATTCGAACGTCTGTCCAGTGGTAGATGCAGCGCTAGTAGCAGAAAATGTGGAACCTGTGAAGGGCGACAGTCTGCGTGAGAAAAGGTTTTGGTATTTTAGCTTCAGGACAATTCGATTTAACTAAAATCTCAATTTTAGGGCTTAAGAGACTAATAACGAGCTAGACACCTTTGTTTACGTTTGTTATACATTACTTGAGGGTTGATATAAACAAGTCCATAGATACCACCGTGTAGTTTATTGAAATACTATCCGAATCCAGCAAAGGACAAATGCGAGCAATGTATATAACAAATGTTCCTTGTTTTTTTACTTTGCCCCTGCACTTGGGCTGTCTAACTTGTGATTCTCTCCCAATGGCCCAGACTGTATTTAGCATGTTGCTTGAGCAGCATGCAGCTTTTCTGCTTCGGCGAACTTTGTTTAAAAAGAAAGGTACAAAACAAATAGTATACATAACCTGCCAATTCATTCAGACCATCAGCAGCATTTATTGTGCGAGATGTAAATCTATAGTGATGCTCCTGCAATTGTGGCCATATTTCTTTATTTTCATGCCCTCGAGATCGACCTAGAGGTGGTGCTACGGTCGCGCTATCATCATCATCAAAGCGGGGATAGGAGAACGGCCGCCCCATAGGCTTTCCAGGTTCGCGCGCGAGATGGCGTAGATTCTTGCGTTTATTTTGTCGCATACTACCGGTGGTAAAATAATTCTAGCGGAAAAGGATGCGGTACTGTTCGGTGCTTCAGTAAAGATCGAATCGTGTTGCCAGCGTGCGGCCTAAATTTATATAATTGCTTCTGTGGGTGCGTCGTCTGCTCTAGGCGGACGTTGGAAAGCATGGATCACCACGACAGATGCCTGTCTCCGGCTGAACTGGAATATTTGAGTTAAATATTTGTTTCTTTTAAAATGTGTATCGATTCATGAAAGTGGGAATTAGAAACAACAATAAATTCCAACCCAGATAACATAATACTGGTACTGTGGGCTGTGGGCTGTGAAATCGCAGCTTCTATGCTGTTTTTTTAACTTCTAGCTTTTGCAGTAATATAAATATTTAAAATTAAGATAAGTTAGCGCTGTATTGGAAATTACCATGCTATTGAGTTCCTCTGCTCTTTTACTTTGCCATAGTGTGGGTAAGTGTTTTGGAGTCTGAACAAACCTACTGCGTTGCGATGAGGAGGGTGTGTCTCTTCTAGTTAAGATCTGGGGGGCTATGTTCGACAAATGTTTCGTTTCTCCTAAAAAGAAACGGAAGTGACAGAAGTGACGATATCGAGTCTGCGTGGTTACAGGCTCAAATGACGAAACTTCCCTCTTTCGTCATTTGAGCTTCTAACCAATCAGACGTGATATCGTCACTTCCGTCACTTACGTTTCTTTTTAGGAGAAACGAAATATTTGTCGAACATAGCCCCCCTGCCAACTGCACGGTTGGCAGGACGACTGAAACAAGTGAAACAAACTGTTCTAATATATCTACCTTGACTGTAATAAACGAGTGTAACCGAGCAACGCAGCAATGTTCCTGTTATTAAATGTTTTTCTCGGTAGTGTGGGTTCACCCGCTTCAATTTGCTCGGTGAGGGCCGCGGATGTCAAGAGGCTAATACTATAAATTTCTTGCTAAATAATCTTGTATTCAAACACAGTAGACTCTGCAACCCCAACAAACGACGCGCACCGCGACACAGCCAGCATTGGGCCCAGTGATACTCTTTTACTGATGAGGGTTAGCGACCTTCACGAGACGTTCCGATCACCCTCACCTAACGTATACCTAGACTGGGCAGTTCATCGATTAACTTTCAGATTGTTCAAGTAATGCTTTAATTGCAATTTTTTTTTTTTTTTTTGCCGGTTAATTGGAGTCTTGTGCTGGAGAAAGTCAACAGGGAGTAAAAAATGCCTGCTTTAATATTTTTGACGTCTTTATTTCTTTTTGGGACACAGGATTGCACGGTAAACCACTTCAGCGTGCTTCTCATTTTACCGAGGGTGATGATACCGTTTATATAATAACTTTAAAAAAATACTTCACTTT